GTCCTGAGCGCGCCCAAGAAGGCGAAGCTGGCATCGCGGCAAACCTCGCCGCAAACCTTGCGTCCGAGGCGGAATCCCACCAGCCCTTTGGGCGTGAGTGGTTTAGAGAGCCCGCTCTGTCCTCAACCCCCCTTCTTCCCCTTCGGGGAGGGGTTTACCCCTCCCCCTACCCCCTCCCCCTGGGCCTGGAGAGGGACCCCGGGGCGTCGCCAGGGGGGTCTTTTTCGACTCCTGGGAGGGTCAAAAAACGACGATCCTCACGAGGATTCTGGCCCCGAGGGGGGAGGGAGTTTGGCCCCTCTGCTCGTCTTTGAAGCAGAAATCATTGATTTTACTACGGTGTTGGCCCCATTTTGGCGTTCTGAGGGGGCCGCGCTCATCTTCCCTCATAGCAAAATCATTGATTTGACGAAGGTTTTGGGCTCAATTTTTTCTTTTCAGGGGGCAGCTCTCCTTTGCGCTTCTGCGGAGGTCGCAAGAGGCCCCAAGATGGCCCCAAGAGGCCCCCAGGAGCCTCCCAAGAGGCCTCCCAGAGGCCCCCCAGAGGCCCCCAAGCGGTCCCAAGAGGCCCCCAAGAGCCTCCCCAGAGGCTCCCACGAGGCCTCAAGAGGGCCCCAGATGCCCCCAAGAGGCTCCCCAGAGGCCCCCAAGAGGCCCCCAAGAGGCCCCTAGAGGCTCCAAGACGCCCCCAAGAGACCCCACGAGGAGCCCGAACGACTCACACCAGGACGAGGGGCCCGAACGGCTCACACCACGAAGAGCCCGAACGACTCACGCCAGGACGAAGAGCCCGAACGACTCAAACCACGACGAAGAGCCCGAACGACTCACACCAGGAAGAAGGGCCCGAACGACTCACACCAGGACGAGAGGCCCGGAGATATGCGGGGGCAGGCGGAAACACGCCTGAAAAACACGACTGTCGGCATGCTTCGCAAGAGTTGCTGTTTTGAGATGGGCTGGTGGGGATACGCGAAGCGTGAAGAATTTGCCCTGGTGGTCGAAGCGCCCTAAAGACGGAAGGCCGCAAGTCGGAACAAACGGCGCCCGTGACAGATATACGTATGTATACAACTGTGTATATATACCCATACACATATATATATATATATACAAGACTGAAGTGGCGTTTCGCGCCATGCAACTTGGTGCTTGAATTTTGGTGTGCAGGCGGAATCGCAGGAAGGTCAAGCCGACAATTTAGCGATAACGCCTTGTTGCCTTTTCTGGCATCGCCGCTATAATAATGTTATTCGTTGTCCTTCCTCTATGCTTCTCTTTCCTCTTCGCCATACCCTGCGCATTCTCCCCATCCTCCTCAGCTCTTTTTTGCGGAGGCTCCTCCTTGGGTAGCCTCTGGGGGCCTCACAAAAGCTGTTTCAGGATTGCTTAAAGCCTTCTGGAGGCCTCCTGGGCGTATTCTGGGGGCCTCTGGGGGCTTCCTCGGGCCACCCTGCCTCCAACCGCGGTTCTCCCTGAACGACCGGGTCACGATTTGGAATGCCTCGGAGGGTGTCTTGGGGCCATCTTGGGCCGCCATGGGGCTCTCTTATGGCCATTTTTGACCCGTGTTGTGCCGTTTTGGGGCTCTCTTGGACTGCCTGGACGCCCTTTCGGATGGTTTTGGAGCGATTTTGGAGCCTCCCAGGCGGCTTCGGCCGCCCAGAAGACCGCCGTCTTGGAGTGCCGGGAAGCCGAAAAGAGGAGAAGCCCAAAATTCACCAAAAAACAACAACTCTTGGGGCCTTCTTGGGAGAGCTCTTGGAGGCCTCTTGGGGGCCGTCCTGGAGGCCCATTGGGCCATCTTGAGGTCACGTCGGTCACTGTTGGAGCGCTCTTGTGCTGTCCTGGGGGTCTCTGGGACGTCTCCGATGACCCCCCTGATCGCCCTAGGTGTGCTGGGAAGGCTTGGCAAAACGGCCTGCGAGGCCCGGGGGGCCGCTTCGAGGCCCGTCTGGAGGGTCCCAAAGCCCCAGATCCCGGGAGTCGGGTGTTTTTTGGGGGGGGCGGGGGGGGTCCCCCCGCCCGGGCTTATAAGGATATAGGAAGAGGATTGAATGTGCGTAAGGAATGTGTGTATAGAGAGACAGAGAGAGGAAGGAAGAGAGAGAGAGAGAGAGATGAAGAGAACAAACAAAAGCGATGCAAGGGAGAGAGAGAGAGAGAGAGAGAGAGAAAACGTTGCTTGGCTTACCAGGAAGCTGGACGGGTCTGCCAGGGTTTCGCCGGGCACCCCCGTGGGCGGGCCGCCCGCGGCTGCCCCGTGCGCTGGGTGGGGCTGCCGGGGTGTCGCCCGGGGTCCGGTCTGGCAGCCGCCCGTGGCCGCCTCGCGGCCGCTTCGTGCAATGGTGGGGGCGGAAAATTACCAGCCTGGAACATATCCCTATCCCTATGCTGGGCACATGCTCATCACGATGCCAATCTTAGGGATTCCCTTATCTTCTGAGGGCGGATCCCTAAGACTGTCATCGCCTTTTGGCGTGTCAATCTTAGGGATAGGGATACGTTCGAGGCTGGTAAAAAGAGGGAGGATCGGGAGACGTAAGGCTCGGGCACGGGGGCCTCGGGTTGGCCTGGCGGCGCCACCATACAAAAAAACGACGAGATCCGATCCGAAACTTGAGGCGATCGCTCCCGCTGCAGACAGCCCGCGAGAACGGGACCGTCAACATCCAGGACGCAATCGTCAAAAGGCGTCGGCAAACCCGAGTTCCAGCGCGCTCGAGTATCACGTTCCCCCGAGAGGAGGAAAAGGGGGAGCAACTCTCCCCAAGCATTCGCACTCGTGTGGCCAAGAATGCCCTTGCTGTGGGATGCCGACCCCCCCCCGCGCGCAACCTGTAGGAAGCAGAGAACAGGAAGAAGGTCGGAGAGAGGCAAGGACATCACGGGGTGGAAGGGGAGCGGGAAGACCAGGGTGACCACGGACAAAAAAACTCGGCGCCGGCAGCGGCGCAAGGTCCCCGAACCCTAGGGGCCCAGGACAGGCGTGGGGAACGTCTGCCGCTCCCCCCCCAGCCAAGCTTGCATGCCTGGCCGAGCATGCCCCCGCTTTGGGCGGGCAGCCCCGGCCGCGCAAAGACCAGGAAGCAGGCGGGGACGAGCGGGAAGGGGTCGGAGGGGAGAGCATCGGAGGGAGGAGTGGGAAGGGAGGCGCAGGGTGGTTTCAGCCATCTCCGGGGGTAATCCTGGGGCCTCTCGGGACCCTCCTGGAGGCCGTCCGGGACCAACTTGGGTTCCTTCGGATGCCCTCCGGGACCACTTTCGGTCATCCCATGGGGCCATTGGGGAAACACTTCGTGCCTCTGCGAGGCCAATGCTCCTCCCACATGTCCCCTCCGCAGAAGCCGCAGAACAATCAGCCTGGCGAAGGGGCAAACCCTATGCGGCTGAGTGTGGCGCTAGATTTGGCCATCTCCTCGTGTAAAGTTCTCAACCGTGTAGCGCACAGCGGCACGCCAACCATCAACATTTCAAGCCTGAAGGCTCAGGATTCTGCGTGTGGGGCGAGACTAGTTTGTAAAGGCTATCCGAGCTTGAGCTTAGGATTCAGCGCCTGACACGGGAACGGTTGGGAGAGGCTGGAGGAAGATCCTTTGCTCACGGTGCCTTCTACGACGGCCAGAACGCAATTTCTTTTGTAGGAAGGCACCAACTATACACCAACACCGATCCTGGCCAGGATCACCCTGGGCCCAGGATCGGTGTATACGCCCTCCTGCCTTGGGCAAGAAGGCATATACACCGATCATGGGCCCAGGGTGATCCTGGGCCAGGATCGGTGTTGGTGTATAGTTGGTGCCCTCCGATTTTGCGGTGCTGTGGTTTGGGCGCGGCAGCTCGTTTCGCCGAGCAATGCAGCTGCTCGAAGGTGACCGTAAGATTCTGCGCGTGATCACGGAACGGCCAGCAGAGAATCAGGGATGAACTCATGCTCACGGTGCCCCCTTACGTAGACGACTCACAAGCAAATACGTTGTGATACATGTCCTTGTTCGCTGCAGGTCGTGTTGTGCCGCAACTTCCCCGCTCGGTCTTTCATCTGTTTAGGTTGGATTCCGCTGCAGGTTCGCTTCTCGGTTTGGCTGCCTCGGATTGGGTGGAACTGGTCTGATTGGTCTGGCTGATCTTGCTGTTATGACTGGTCTGCCTGGTTCTCCCTGGATCGGCTCGCCTTCTCACTGCCTTCATCGCTGATGTCCGTGTTCTGGCGCGCTTTCGCCTGCTTGGTCTCGCTGACCTGGCCAGTTGTCTCCGCTCTCGTTAGTCTGGCTTCACCAGCACAGCTGATGTTACGCTCCCTCTCATCTGGTTCAGGGCGGGTGCATCAAACAACGCCGCTTCGGGCTGGCTCAGCCTGGCCTAGCTGGTTTGGCTACATCGGCTGGTGGATCTGGCCATTCTGGTCTGGCTACCGAGGCTGGTATGCCTGGTCTGGCGGTCTGGCTGGTCTGTGTGTCCTAGCTGGCTCAACGGTTCCCTGTGCGCTGCAATTGGCTGCCGAGGAGGGCGAAGAAATGGAGGACTGCCGTGAGAAGAAAGATTGGAAGAAACAGAAAGTTGATCACACAAAAAGAGCGGCGTGAAAAGCGAGCCATCGCCATCCGTCCTAAGTGTCCTTCTCCAGTGTGCCGCAGGAGAAAGAGGGAGAGAGAGAGAGAGAGAGTAAGATAGAGACGGAGAGACAGAGAAGGAGCGAAAGAGAGAGAGAGAGACACACACACAAACACACACACACACACACACACACAAAAAAACGCCAGCCAAGGACACTCTGGATGAGATGACTGCGCAACCAATGGGAGAGCAAGTGCACGAATGGCACAATGCTGGCTGCGACGCATCCTGGCGAGTCCATTATTTACGGGCCCGCGCAACAGAACCCGCCAATTCCTTAAACAAATTGACTGGGTCTGCCGCGAAGTGCTCTCAAGTGTAACAACACACGTGCTGCCCGCGGGGCCCAGGGTGAAAGAACGCTGCGCTCATAGTGGTATGTTGCTGCATTTTCTTCTTTCACCCGGAGACCTGCGGAGAGAGAGAGAGAGACGGTCAGAGCGCGACCGGACTGGCTTGCTCTTGAGAGAGCAAGCATAACAGCTTATCTCAGGTGCGCCAGCTTCGCGAGGGACGGCCGAACCTTTGGAGGGGGCTCAGCGCGCGAAACGCGCAGACGGACGGGAGAGCTCGCGCCTGTGCTGATGAGAGGAACCGATCACCTGTGCGATGGTCCTGAGAGTGCCTCCACGAACGAGTGCCAGCTCATTAGCAGTCGGCAAGATATTAAACGTGAGCCACGACGCTGCGAGTTAGCAGCATGAGGCCGATTAGTGCGCGGCATCTGAACTGTGCTTCGTCTGCCGCGGCTCAGTCAATACTGCAATGACGCGCCCACTTGCGCTGCTGCGATGCGTCTCCTTTGAGCATTGTGCTGCGTCCCCACGACGTGTTCGTCTCCTACTCCCACAGCGCATTCGTATCAAGCAACCCCTCTTGGCTGCGGACAAAACCTTCTCGGTCCAGGGTGTCATCAACGCTGGTCATGCTGCCTGAGGTCGTAGAAGCAACACCGAGCGTTTGCCGGAAACTGTCACACCACTCCACTATGTCGGTGGAAGCGCCGGCGACTGAACTGTCCAGGATGAAACGGGCAAGAAGGCAGACCTCGAGCTCGGCGATCAGGCTGTGAATGTCGAGCTGATCTGCCTTCGCCCGATTACTGAGACGCCGGATGCGGTCGTTGCCGAAAACCACCGCCGCACAGCTTTTCATGACACCCTTGTGTCCAGCAAAGGACCGCGCATCGCGGAGCGAGTCGTAGAAAATAGAAGATACGTTCGTTGGCGAACCAATGTCCCATGAAGGGCCAGTCCACAGCCAGGAACGAAGAAGAGTATCCCATATGTCATCGTCTTCGAAACGCTTTGGCCCTAGCACCTTTGCCACCGCGAATGCCTGGAGTAGCATCGTTCTGTCGATGCCGACCCCCAGCCGGTCGACGAAACCGATTTGATGACCATCAACCTTCCAAGGGCATGCATCTCGCATAGATTCGTCGACTTGTGATGCTTCTGGGCCAGCCCATGTCCGTGTCACCCCGATCAGAGTCCTGACCGCTCTCGCAGTCTGCTCGAGGACCGCAATGTTCTCTGCCCGAAGGGAAGATGTGATAGATATGAAAACGTGTTTCTCGTACATGATGCGCTCCATCGGTTCCAATCGTGTTGCAACTGTCCCCGGTAGCCCACGATTCTTGAACCAAGACTGCCAGCGTGAGGCGGGGTCCACGTGCTTGCCATGATCGTGGGCATGCTGGGCAAATCATCTCCAGCAACAGGAATGCCCCCGTTGCAGCAGATTGCGAGAATGCGCCACGGGAAAGCCCCGATCTGTTGATAGATTTTACTACGACGACGCGGGTGGAAAGCACGCTCCTTCGGCACAGTGGCGCGGGAATCCCGAGCGTGAGCAAAACCCGCAGCCTGTGGCGGAACAACGTTCCTGAGGAACTTCTGGAGAAACTTCAGGAAAAATAGTGACGCTTGGATAGGTTGTGAGGCGGCCGCGGGCATGGCATCCAAGACGGCCCAAAAGGATCCAAGATACTTCCAAGTCCGCCCAAGAAGCCTCTAAGACGGCCCAAGACTGCCCAAGAGGTGCCCAAGAGGCGCCCAAGACGGACCAAGAGGCCTCCGAGAGGTCCTCCAGGAGGGCCCGATGAGGCTAAAATCATCGATGTTCCACCTTAAGTGTTTGAAGGATTTGGGCATCTGCTTCTTTTCGGCCCTCCGACGGCCCAAGACATTCCAAGAGGCCCCCAAGATCGCCCCAAGATCGCCCACGGGGCCTCCAATATTGCCTCAGGACTGCCCAAGAGGCCCCCAAGACGGCCCCAAGAGGGCCCAAAGTCGACCCAAGAGGCCTCTAAGACGCCCAAGAAAGCCTCCAACACGGCCCTGGAGAACCAAGAGGGCCCTAAGTCGGCCCAGCGAGGCCCCCAAGACGGCTTCCGACGGCGTCAGACGGGCCAGGAGCCCACCAAGACGGCCGAAGATGACCCTAAGATGGCCCAAGACGGACCAAGAGGACTCCAAGAGGGCCTCCAGGAAGGCCCGAGGAGGCCAAACTCATGGATGTCCCCTCTAAGTTTTTGGAGGATTTCGGCATCTGCTTCTTTTCGGCCTTCCGACGGCCCAAGACGGCCCAAGAGGCCCCCAGGATCGCCCCCAGAGCGCCCAGGAGGCCTCCAATATTGCCTCGGGACTGCCCAAGAGGCCCCCAAGGGGCCCAAAGTCGGCCCAAGAGGCCTCCAAGACGCCCAAGAAAGCCTCCAACACGGCCCTGGAGAACCCCAAGAGGGCCCCAAGTCGGCCCAGCGAGGCTCCCAAGACGGCTTCCGACGGCGTCAGACGGCCAGGAGCCCACCAAGACGGCCGAAGATGACCCTAAGATGGCCCAGGACGGACCAAGAGGCCTCCAAGAGAGCCTCCAGGAAGGCCCGAGGAGGCCAAAATCATGGATGTCCCCTCTAAGTCGTTGACGGATGTTGGCATTTGCTTTTCTGTCGGCCGTCCGACGGCCCGAGACGGCCCAAGAGCACCTAAAGATCGCCCCAAGATCGCCCAAGAGGCCTCCAGTATGGCCCCAGGACGGCCCAAGATGCCCCAAAGACGGCCCAGCGAGGCCCCAAGACGGCCCAAGAGGCCTCCAAGACGCCCAAGATGGCCTCCAAGACGGCCCTGGAGCACCCCAAGAGGGCCACAAAACGGTCCAGAGAGGCCCCCAAGACGGCTTCCGACAACGTCAGACGGGCCAGGAGCCCACCAAGACGGCCAAAGAGGCCGCCGAGATTCCCCGACAGGTCCCCTAAGAGCTCCAAGGAGGCCCCCAAGATGCCTCCGATAGGCTCCCAGGAAGCTCCCAAGATGCCCCACCCAAAAGTGTCCCCAGGCAGCCGACCGCCGAAAACCTCCAGACGCCAGCCACAGCCTGGAGGACGAAGAGGCAGAGGCGGCGCAGGCAGACCTGAGCAACTGCCCGAGTCCCCGAGATGCGGAGGAGGCGGAGGAGGCGGACGAGGAGGCGGAGAGAGCCTGCGAGCAGGAGGCAAGGAAGGGAGGGAGCGCTTTTTGCAGCATCCGCGAGCATGGCGCAGAGTCAGGGGTGCATGCCGAGTGCAAGCCGCGCCAGAGAGGCTGCCACGGCGAGCGGCGGCTGTTCGCGCAGCGGAACGCAGCCCAGGGGAGCGCGGCGACGGCCTCGGCTATCGAGTACGAGTCGACCCGGGCCTCCGACGTGTGCAACACAGGAGGTCAGGAGCAGTCGGCATCGGTTCGGGGAATCGGATCGGATCAAAACGTGTGTCAGATCGGGCTGCATCGGAACGGAGTCACACTCGGATCGGATCGGCTGCACCAAGGTGCACAACATCGCAATGCAAACATCGGGCCGCATCGGATGGTCGGAGCATCGAATCGGATCGGGCAGGCCGGAATCGATGTCGATGCGGATCGATCGTATCGGCATGGACCCTGTCAGGGCGGATGTTTGTTTTGCCCACACACACATCCCACACTGCATTCTATTATACAACGCCCCGCCCATTGAGCTGTGTCCTGTGAATCGTGCAGCGCGCGAGCCTCCCATGAAACTTTCACAACAAGTTGCGGCCCCCGTCGTGCCATCATCCGCAAATGTGACCATCTGGTTGCAAACCTCCGGCACCTTGAACAAATCAGGGCGGATGCTTGTCTCCGCCGGCACGATCTGCGTCCGAGGGACCGTTCTCGGGCTCAAGAGGGCGACCCGGGATGAAAAGCAGGCCCTGTCGAAGGGTCGATGATCCTCAGAACGTGTGCTATAGGGCCAACGCGTGCTCGCCAGCCGAGGCCCTTCAGTACGACGCAGTCGGCGTGAGAAGGGCCGACGCAGGCCGAGCCTTATCGCCGGAGCAGGGCAAGAGACAACGCACATTGGGTCAACACACGTCCTGAGGATCATCGAAAGGGGTCACGATGTCCAGTGCCCCAAAAGTGGGGTAGAAAAGGAGGAAGGAAATGTCGGAGTCCCGCGGAGCCTGGACCCGACAGCGACATGCAGACGTCGGGCACGATCGGCCCTCTGGAGTGTCGGGGTCGATCCAGATCGAGCCCGCTGGAATCGAGATCGAGTGGGGTCGGAATGGACGCCAATAAGTCGAGATGTCCATGGCCACATTGTTGCGTAACTTTAGCTACGTAATTGTTTTATACATTTTTTATATATGTACACATAAATGATCGATACACACACATATATATATGTATATATATATATGTGTATGTATAAACCTTGTACTTGTATGAATGTATATTCACACGTGTTTGCGTACACATGCATACACAATACAATTGACGCATCTCTCTATACATATATATATATATATATATATATATATACATACCGCCCCCGGGGACTGGTCTTCCGTCGGGGGCGCTTTCTCCCCAAAGCGGTGTTTGCAACGAGGCTTGCCTGAATCATTGCATGGGCTCTGCCAGGGTCTCGCCCGGTGGCCGCCTCCACCTCGTGGCCTCCGACAACTCCTGGCCCGCCCCCCGACCCCGACCCTTCCCCCGCCCCCACCTGGTCCGACCCCCTCGCGCACTGGCACCTCTGGTCTTGGAACCCACCAGCCGACAATTCCTGGCCCGGACCCAAACCCGACCCCGCACCACGCCCTCACCTGGCCCGACCCCCGCGCGCCCCATGGGACTTTTGTTTTCCGGACCCACCAGCTAGCAACTGTTGGCCTGGACCCGACCCCGACCCCCCACCACGCCTCTACCTCCACCTGGCACTCCCCGGCCTGGACCGGACACCTACCCACCGCGCCCCCACTTGGCCCGACCCCCTCTCACGCTCTGATTCGCTCTTTGGGACCTCAGTGCTTGGGGCCCACCATTCGACAATTCCTGGCCCGGCCCGTGACCCCGACCCCCGACCACGCCTCCACCTGGCCCGACCCCCATGCGCCCTGGGACCTTTGTTTTTTCGGACCCACCAGCTAGCAATTCTTGGCCTGGGCCCGACCCCGACCCCCCACCACACCTCCACCTTGAAGGACCCCCCATGACGCCCTGGGTTTTCTGTTCGGCTTGGGATCCACCACCCGACAACTCCTGGCCTGGACCCGACACCGACCCACCACCACGCCCCCACCTGACCCGACCCCCCTCTCACGCTTTGATTCGCGCTCTGGGACCTCTGTGCTTGGGGCCCACCAGTCGACTATGCCTGGCCCGGCCCCCGACCCCGACCCCCCACCACGCCTGCACCAGGGCCGAAGCCCTTGCGCGCTGGGATCTGTTCTTGGGACCTACTACCCGACAGCTCCTGGCCCGGACCCAACCCTCACCTTCCACTACGCCCCCACCTGGCCCGACCCCCATCGCGCTCTGCGAAGTCTGTTTCTGGGGCCCACCGCCTGACAATTCCTGGGCCAGACCCTGGGACCTCTTGTTTTGGAACCTACCACCCGATAGTTCCTTGCCCGCACCTGACTCCGACCCCCCACCCCTCCACCTGGGCCAAAGCGTTTGTGCACTGGGACCTGTATTCTTGGGGCCCACAACCTAGCAATGCCTGGGTTGGACCGGACACCTATCCCACCGCGCCCCCACCTGACCCGACCCCCCTCACGCTCTGACTCGCGCTTTGGGACCTCAGTGCTTCAGGCCCACCACTCGAGCATTCGTGGCCCGGCCCCCGACCCCGACACCCCCCGCCGCGCCTCCACTTGGCCCGACCCCCATCACGCCCTGGCGTCGTTGGCCCGAGACCCCCTCGCGCCCTGGGACGCATATTCTTGATGCCCACCACCCCGCCATTCCTGGCCTGGACTCGACCTCGCCCCCCCCGCCACGCCTCCACCTGGCCCGACCCCATCGCGTCCTGGGACAGCTGTTCTTCTTGGGACGAACCACCCGACGCTTCCAGACCCGGCCCCGACCCCCCGCCGCGCCTCCTCCTGGCTCGACCACCTCGCACCCTAGGGCCCCCGTTCTGGAAACCAGCGCCCGGCAAGCCCCCCACGCCGCGCCTCCGCATGGCCCGACCCCCGCGCGCCCTAGGCCTTCTGTTCTTGGGGCCCACCAGCCGAGAATCCCTCGTCCGAGCTCGTCGTCGACAACCACCGCGCCTCGCTTGGCCCGCCGCCTCGCGCCCTGCGACCCCTTGGGGCCCACCGCCCAACAATTCCGAGCATGGATCCCCATCCCGACCCCCATAACGCCTCCACCTGGCCCGACCCCGTCGCGCCCCGGGGATCTGTTCTTGGCACCCACCACCCGGCAGTCACTGGACCGGACCCGACCCCGATTTTTGTCATCGCGCCCCCACCTGGCCCGACCGTCGAGCAGCACCACCCGACAACTCCCGGCTTGGACCCGACCCCGACCTCCCACCACGCCTGGCCCAGACATCGCACGCCCTGGCATGTCCGTCCGCGGGGCCCATGCCACCCGACCATTCCTGGCTCAGACCCAAACACGACCCCCGCCACGCCTCCACCTGGCCCGAAACCTCGCGCCGTAGGACCCCTGCTCCTGAGACCCACTACGCGGCAATTCCTAGCTCGGACCCGACCCCGACCCCCCGCCCTTCAAGCCTTGGGACCTCTGTGCTTGGGGCCCGCCAGTTGGCGATTCTTGGCCCGGCTCCGACCTCGACCGCCTGCCGCGCCCCAACCTGGCCCGACCCTCTCGCGCACTGGCATCTGCAAACATGGGGGCCACCGCTCGGCAGATCCTTACCTGGGCCCGACTTCAACCCCCCAGGCCTCCACCTGGCCTAGGCCCCTCGCGCCCCGGGGCGGTTTCGCCTGGGGCCCACCGCGCTTTGCTTCCCAGCACGGCCGACCCCCATCCATCCTGGGACCTCTGCTCTTCGGGCCGACCGCTCAACGATTCCTGGCCTGGACCCAATCCCGACCGCCCACCGCGCCCCCACCTGGCCCGACTTCCTCGTCGCGCCCTGGGACCGCTGTTTCTGCAGCCCCCCCGCCAGACAAATTCTGGCCTGGACCCGACCCCGAAACCCCGCCGCGCCTCCACCTGGCCCGCCTCGCGCCCCTGCACGTTCTTGGGGCCCACCACCCGACCATTCATGGCTCGGGCACGACCCCGACCCTTCACCGCGCCTGCGCCTGGCCCGACCCCTATCCCGCTCTGCCGCCCGGCAGCTCCTGGCCCGGAACCGACCCCGGCCTCGCGGCGCCTCCACCTGGCCCGATCCCCTCGCGCCCTGCGACCTCTGTTCTTGAACCCACCGCCCGACAATTCCACGTGCTTGGGGCCCACCACCCTCCGACCCCCCGCCGCGCCTCCACCCTGGCCGACACCCTCGCGCGCTGAGAACCTCTGCTCTTAGGCTCCGCCACCCGACAATTCCTGGCCCGGACCGGACCCTGACCGCCCTGCAAATTCTGGCCCGGGCCCGAGCCCCACCGCGCCTCCACCCGGACCGACCTCCTCGCGCCGTGGGACCTGAGCGCGGAGCCCACCACCCGAGAGCGCCTCGCCCGGGCCCCGCCCCGACCCCCCGCCCCACGCGACCCTGTCGCGCCCTGGGACTTCTATCCCTGGGATATACTCCGCAGGCCAGGCCCCCCACGCGCCGCCCCGCCTCCGACTGCCGCGCAACTCGCGCCCTGGGACCTCTGTTCTTGGGATCCGCTGCTCGACTTCCCGGCCCAGACCCGGCCCCGACCACCCGGCGCCCGCCGCCCGACAACGCCCGGCAGGGGCCCGACACCGACCCCCGTTCCACGCCCTCACCGGGGCCCGCCCCCCGCGCGCCCTGGGACCTCTGCACCTTGTGCCCGCGCAAAAAATAATAGCTATCGCGCACTGCTTCGCGCTCTGGCACCTCTGTGCTCAAGGCCCACCGCCCGGCACTTCTGGCCCCGACCCCGACGCCCGATCACACCTCCGCCTGGCCCGACCCCTCACGCCCGGGGACCTCTGCTCTCAGGGCCCACCGCCTGGCGATTCCTGGCCCGGGCCTCGAGCCCCGACCCCCCGCCGCGCCTCTTCCCGGCCCGGCCCCATCACGCCCTCGCGCCCTGGGACTTCTATTTGTTCTTGGGGCCCACCGCCCCGCAGATCCTGGACTTTGGACCCGAACCCGACCCCGCCGCGCCTCTCCGCATTGGGCCCACCACTCGACAATCCCTGGCCTGACTCCGACCTCGACCACCCACCGCGCCTCAAACTGGCCCGACCCTCTCTCGCGCGCTGGGATCTACAACCAT